AGAAGGAATAATAATCTAGGACAAAATATATTCTTTGGCAACAAAGTCTGAAAGATGTTGACCTCTTTCCAATGCCGTTTTCTTGTGTGTATTTTTTTAAGAATGCTATTTATTTATTTATTTATTTATAGATATATTAATATTATAAGTATTAAATATTATATATATATATTTCAAAGAGGAAGTGAGAGGGAGAGGAAAATATCAATGATAAGAGTCATTGATCAGCTGCCTCCTGCACATACCTTACCAAGGATTGAGCTTGCAACCTGGACACAGGCTGATGCTTTATCCACTGAGCCAAACCGGCTAGGGCCAGTTGTAACTTTTAAATAGATGGATTGAGGCCGAGTGTGATTTCTACCTCCTTCCCCTTCTCTTGATGTAGTAGAGAATGGTACTGTGCGCAGGTCCTTTCGTGACTGGGTGCAGAGCCTATATGGTGTCCTTTAGCAGTAACAAGATAGATCTTTCCTCTCCCAGTGAGGGATTTTGTGAGGTTGGCTGTAGTTGGGAGGAGAGAAAGAATTTTCTTAGGGCTTCATTGTATGTTACTGTAGCCATAGAAATGGAAGTTGAAGAGGGAAGCTATGTATTGGTTTATTATCCCACCTTTTCTTGGGCTTAATTTTCAAGTACCTCAGGGATACTAGAGTAAGTCCTGTTTCCTAGAATTAATTAGACTTCATACTGGGAGACTGACAACACTCATGTTAGTGCAAGGGCTATGTAGGCAAGGATGTTTCTAAATATGAAATAATCCAAATTAAGTTGTAGTTGGTTTTGAAATACTTTTCAATGAATATATCCAAGCTGACATTTCACTTGAAACAAGTAAAAATAGGAAAGTCATATTTGTGATGATCCCATTAATTTCAGCAAAGCATTTTCTTAACAAGTTGGTTTAATCCTATATAATAAAAGCCTAATATGCAAATTGACTGAACAGTGGAACGACCAGTCGCCATGACGTGCCCTGATCACGAGAGGGCAGATGCTCAACACAGGAGCTTCCCACAGGCTCCAGGCCAGCCAAGGTGGGTTCCAGCGGAGGGCCACCCCCCCACCAGTCACCCCACAGAGAGAGGCAACTAGCAGTAGTGGTGGGATGATTGGGGGGTGATGCCGAGGGAGGCAACTGGTGGTGGCAGTGGGGGACCAAGTCAGCGAGTTGGTGGCACCAGACCAGCCACAGTGGGTGTCAACCAGGGGCTCCCAACCGCCCCACTGGTCACCCTACAGATCGGCTCTGATCTCCAGTCAGGCCTAGGGACCCTACCAGTGCACGAATTTCGTGCATTGGGCCTCTAGTCTATAAGACACTAGCCCATGCGGTACAATTTTTCTCAAAGCTTTCTAGTTTGAATGCCTTGGATAACAGAGTTTACGTGCAAAGGTAAGCAAATAATGAAATAGAGTAAGTGCTAATTATAATGGAAAGGTTGGGCAACAGACCAAATTTGAACTATTTTGAACTCATATCACATTCTGTGTTATATCTTCTTTAACCCTCACCATAACCCTGTGAAGAAACTGAGTCATATAGCTAGGAAGTAGTAGGCAGGACTTCAACTTACGTGTTCGCTGCCAAAAGTCTAGTTGTATTTCTATGCTGCTCCCATTCTCATCTTGTATATTCCTCGTTCCCTTGACAAGGAGAACTGTAATCTCTTCTGTTTCCACCTCGCTAGGATTCAAATTTTTCATCTGTAAAATGAGTGGTAAATTATGTAATTACCTTGTATAGTTTTAAATTTGTGCTTTTGATTGTTAAATTTGAAAAGGGGGGGGTTGTTGGGATAAATATAATAAAGGATAATAGGTTTTATTTTGCTTTGTTTTTGTAATTCAAATTGTTTTCATGAGATTAAGAAGAGAACATATTTGAAAGAAAACTAATTCATAAAATTAAATATTTGATGATAATAGTAAAGGAGGTTTAAGGTCATAAAAGGGTAAATCTCACAGTGTTAGGAATGTGTGATGACACAGATACATTTGCATTTTGGTATTTGGAAAGTTAGAACCTATTTATAGGCTAGGAGGTCAGCAAGAGGGTGCAAACCTATTTCTAGCATAAAATGGATGAGTTGATGTTCTTAAATAAAACAAGTAGCCAGTGGATTGCTCAGCCTTTAATTTTTCTTACCTTGTAATTGTTAACGAGCAGCAGAATTTCAAACTATCAGTAGTAAGAAAAATAGGACTTGGATTAACTACAGACCAAATAATTTTTAACTGATGGTGTTAAATATACTCTTATAAAGAGATGCTTTTAATGATTGTAGAAAAACTAGGGAGTTCATTATTGTAAATTTTTGTTTTCAGGTTGTGACAGAGTTAGCAGATAGGAGAATGTGGAGTCTGAATAACATGGAATGTACTTACATTAATGATAACTTGAAATCGGAAATGTTTCCATGTTGAAGGACTATTTTGATGTTTCTGAAAGTCAAAATTTTAGTAGCAGTGCTGTTGTTTTAATAGCATAGAGCAGTAATCAAGTGAGAGGAAGGACAGTATCTCCATGTTTATTTCATCCTGTAATGAATTGATAAGCATCATATTGGAAGTATAGATCACTGCTTCTGATACTAGAGTGAGTTTTCCTAGCTTCTCGGTGCTTTGATTTTTTCTTCTTTCAAAAGGCAAATGATTTCTCTATAGGATCTTAACAGTTTCTTAATTCTGTGCAGCAAGAGTCATTTTTTAAAAGATTATTATAAACTGTCACCATCAATTAACTAATAATTATTTAATGCTTTAATGTCCAAACCCTGCTGCTAAGTGCATCAAACATCTCTTAGTTAATCTTGATTTGCTATTGATAAGTGTAAGATGTCCTTGAACACAGGATTCTTAATTGTGGTTTTTTGTTGAAAGACAAAGTCTCAAAAGCAACTATTCCTTTACTTTTTTTGAAGTTTGTATAGTATTGACTTGTCATCATTTGAATATCCTGGAAATGAGAAAAATGACAGTGATAATCATTTGTTTTAACTGTTAAGTGCAATTAAAATATGAAAACATTACTGTCTTTGTTTATGATGAATACTAAATTTAAGCTAAGCTATAAGGTGTGCTGTTTGGAAATATGGAAGATGCAAGAATGAAGCCAGATAACAAGTTTATGCTTGTATTTCCTACTGATGAAGACTTTCAGACAAGTTATTTCCTTGGGTAGGTGATATCACTCTGCATGTACATATATACTTAATACTTTTTTGCATGATTATACATGTAGGAGTGGTACAATTTTGACTTGACTGTTGACCTGTTGCCTCAATTTGGTTATTGTGGTGGGGGATATGGGGCAAGTGGCTCTGATTGGTATTAGTGATATAAATTTTAACATAAACAACTATTTTTTGTCAACACAAAACACTTAAAAAATAAAATCCTTTTAAAAATAGAACATTTGGTCAAATAGTCATTATTGTACTTGACCTTCATATCTTCTACACTCAAGTATTTGGACATTACATAGCATCTTTATTCCATAGTCATTTTGAACTCTGACGAGAACTTCATAAATGATAACCACTTTTATTTATTAGAAAAGAAAAACCTCAAAACATGAGCCAACTTTTTTGCTATTTGAACTAAAATCCATTGCCAACTGATACTGAGGCCACACTTCAATTTTATGAACTTAATTTACTGTTTTGGGAGAATTAGAAATTATTTTAAAGTAGTGAACAAACTGTTAATGATCGTCAGAATTTCATATTGTGACATGTCTGTTCCTTTTACAGTGACACTTAACTCATTTGCATTTATGTTTGGTCATGTGTTATTGTGGTTTTTTAATGTTTCTACGTAAACCAATGGTGTAGGAACTTAGTTTTAAGGGATAAATACCCGAAGTGTGTTCTGTGTTTTGTTCAGTGACAGTTTCCACAATGGATTTTTATATTATAAAATAGGTGTATTTAATGCTAATTTGTTGGATGATATTAAAAAATCTTTATGGAAATAAATTACTTGCCTGCACTTCATAGATAGTTGTTGAGAGAAAGAGCATTCTGTTATTTCTGCTTTCTTCTAAATTAGAGGTAGTAGAAAGGGATGTATTTCATTCTTGATTGAAAGCTTTTTGCTGTTATGTTAGAAAAAGGGTAACTTTAGCATTTTAAAGCATGCATCTATTATACAAGCATGAATATTGAGTTATTTTAGCATGAATTACTGAAGTGTAACTACTTTGTAACTGAGCTGCTTTTTTTTTTTTAGCTAGTTAGGGTGATTTGGAGGTAGAAGGGCTCTCTTATTTTTCTGGTAAGAACTTTAATATCTTCCTCTGAAATAATCTGTAAGATTGATTATCCTTTCCTTGGGGTGTGAATTGCTTGTCTTTCTCAGGGAAAAGAAAATATAAATATCCCTCACAAGACATCCAAAGCAAAATTCTGAAGATGGGTTTTGTGTTGTCTTTTTGTAGAATGTTGTAAGATGTATAACATTCCTGATATTTTAAAGGACTTCCCTGGAAATAAGTCAGTCAAATAGAGCTCTTAGTGTTAATCTTATTTCTTTAGAGAGTAGAAAAATACATATTCGATTTTCTTTGACTCTACTGGGGAATTTTAGTATTAGCTACTAAGAGAACTAGATTCATTCTCTTAAAGATACAAATTGAGTTTTAATAGTTTGCATTTGTCTTTTCCTTTAATCTCAGTTTCGCTTTCTCTGTGGATTCTTTTTTCTTAATCTTTTGCTCTTTAAGAGTATGATGTCAGTTCAGTGTAACATTGTTCAGTATAGTCTTGTCTTCTTCATAACACACCTTTTCCTTCTTCCCTAATGTGTCCCTTATCTTTGTAAGCTTGGGTTATCTTTTTCACTTTCACATCATGTACAAAATATTAGATGTAAATATTAGCCTTTCTGATTAGCTAGAATAATAAAATAAAGGTAACTGGCATTTAGAGGGCTCTTAGTTTCAGAAGTATTTTCACCCCACAAGTTAGATACAAGTATACATTTTCTTTCCTCCCTAGATGGACCTCCAGTTATAGCTTATTATGATATGTCTGACACCAGCTCTGACCCAGAAGTGGTAAATGTGGACACTTTATTGGCGGCTGCAGTAGTTCAAGAGCACAGTAATTCTGTAGGAGGCCAGGACACAGGAGCTACCTGGAGGACCTGCGGGCTTCTAGAGGAGCTGAATGCGGAGGCAGGTTGGTCTCCCTCCCCTTCCCCTTCTCTAATAATGTAATGTGCATGTGTCCTGGCAGCTGTTTGTCATAGTGGGCCCTGCTGAGGTGTGCAGGCTAACCAGAGGCATCCAGGGTGCCATTTATAACTGACTGTAAAGGAGATTTGGGTAATATGTCATTAATCTAAAGCAAACATGACAATATATAAGACATTAATTGTAGGCATAAATAGATTTTAGTATGCATATTTCTTGAGTTAAAAAATACCTGACATGTAAAAACAACCCAGATGACCTAATACTTTCTCATTCCATCCCCACTTCTCAATGGTTTTCCTCACTTAGCTGCACAGCAGTCTTGAAGCTTGGGGGAGGGGGCCTGTTCGTACTTGTCCTGTGGGGCTGTTCCTGTATAGCGCTGCACTGCTTCTTCCACTTCTTGGTTATTTCCTCTATAGTAGTTTTCATATTTGTCTTTTCTAATCCTTTTCTTTCAGTTTCTGCTTCTATTATCTTGGAAAAATTTTTTTCCTTGTCTTGCATTATTCATCTTGATTCTGTGATGATTCTTAAGAGTGATATTTATTCACTAAAAAACCCATTGCTATTACTTTTGAAACCTTGCACAGGTGCCTCCAAGTTTCCTTAAATACGGTTCTCAAAACTCTTTCAATATTCTCATTTAAGCCTCCCCTCTCCTCCCCCCAAAAGTACTAGCACTTAAGTTTAAGAAAGGAGGAGAAAGCTGTTGACAGACTTTATGTAGTGTATTTTCTTTCATGTTAAAGATAATTTTCTATTTAAATTATGAATTGCTTTGGCTTTTATGGGCGAATTTGGTAACTTAATCACTTCCTAAAATGTTTATGGGAAACGAGTTTAAATAATGGATTTTAGTTCAGAACTTTTATATTTAAATTGTTAGGAAATAAAAAAGACAAAACTCCACAGATCATTGTCCTTAATTCTTCCTTTCATACTTTTTGGTGGAAGCAAATAAAAATCTCTTGTTATTGAGCTTCTAATTAATTTATTTTGACCAATTTTGGAACAGAGCAGGACCTGGACTTAATTTTAACTATGTTTTGACTGCTAACTGCCTTTTTGACCTTAGATAAGCTATTTCTCTTCTGGATGTCAAATACTTGCTTTGCATAACAAGGGTCTTTTAGGGATTTATTAATATGTATAAGTACTTTAAAAAGAATTAAGTAGTAATACTTTATATCAAAGAAGAGTAGTTTGACATTTTCTGCAATATGTGTTCCTAAGTTTTATAATTTGTTCTGTGTACTGGGTAGTTTATCTTCATTTTTCATCCATTGACAATTAAATGGTTCATTCTGCTTCAGTTTTACTAGTATTTCTCTGTTTTCTTAGTTTGCCAGTAAGCAGACTATTTTATTGTAAATGCTCAAGAAAAACATGAACAATTACTTTTTTTTTTTTTTTTTTTTTGCTTTTCATTTAGAGAATTTTAATACAGTAGGTCCTCAGGTTACATGGGACGTAATGCAACTTTTGCTGTAAGTCAGAATCCACCTATGTCACTCACATAGAGCACATACACAGCAGTAATGAAGTGAAACAGTAAAAAAATTTAAAAGAGAAATAACAATTCCTGACCTTTACTTGTGGTAAATAAATAATAAAAAACACAAAGCATATATGTACATACATCAGAATGACAGAACTTTTTTTTTTTTATATAAATAAATTAGAGGAATGGTGCATGAAATTTGTGCACAGAGGCAAGTGGGGGGGGGGGTTGTTCCTCAGCCCAGCCTGCACCCTCTCCAATCTGGAACCCCTCGAGGGATGTCCAACTGCCCGTTTAGGCCTAATCCCACTGGCATTGGGCCTAAATGGTCAGTCTGACATCCCTTCACAATCCAGGACTGCTGGCTCCCAACTGCTTGCCTGCCTGCCTTCCTGATTGCCCCTAACTACTTCTACCTGCCAGCCTAATCAACCCCTAATCACTCCCATACCAGCCTGATTGATGTCTAACTGCTCCCCTGCCAGCCCGTTTGCCCCCAACTTCCCTCCTCTGCCAGCCTGGTCACCCCTAACTGCCCTCCCTGCAGGGTTGATCACCTCCAATTGCCCTCCCTTGAAGAGTTGATGACCTTCAACTACCCTCCCTTGCAGGCCTGGTCCCTCCCAACTGCCCTTCCCTGCTGGCCATCTTTTGTTCACATAGGGGCAGGATCTTTGATCACATGGGAGCAGCCATATTGTGTGTTGGAGTGATGGTCAGTCTGCATATTACTCTTTTATTAGGATGGGAGATGGCGATATAACCACAAAATGGCGTACGTCGAGTCCGACGTAACCCCAGGACTGTCTATATTAATTTGACCTAAATTGTTAATATTTGACTTTTGACCTACAACAATCCCAGCAGTTTCTTATGATTCAGACTAATAGTACAAAGTTTGGGGGTCTTATATCATTAGAGTTACCAGCTTTGGAGATAGCATCATATTTTCAGATTCAAGTAATTGTTAGCTTGACTGTTCAAAACATTAGCCTTTATGTACTTAATTCTATATTTGATTATCTTTTTAAATTTCAGTCACACAAAGTTATAAAGATAGTACCATGCAAGTGCCTACCACTGGTCTTAAGAAATAAAACATGGCAAAAATACCCATGGCTTCAACTTTTTTACCTTATTTTTTCCCCTTCCTACTCCAAAGCTGTCATGAATTTGGTACTTGGTGTTTGCTATTACTCTGTATTATTTTATGTTTTTATTGCATTTGTTACATGTCTGTAAACAAGCATGTTTTAATACTAATTGATATTATATTGAAGATAATCACTTGCAAATTGCTTTTTTAGTTGAACCTTTATCAGCATTGTTCTTGGTAATAAACATGGCTCTAGTTCATTCATTTTTACTGTTACTTAGTATTCAACTGGATGATTATATCACAATTGACATACCCATTTTCTTATTGGACATTTAAGGTTCTATTCCGAATGATACTGCCACTAACATTTCTTATGTGTGTCTCTTGGTACATGTGTGTGATGATTTCTCTAGGATAAAAACATACGCTTATATCAGGCCCTAAATTATGTGTAGATTTTTGTACATCATAGGACATGGTCATCACTGTTCAAAAGATTCTCATGACATTTTCTTATGAAGCCATTTATTGACTTATTCAAAGTCTTCCCCCCCCCCCAAAAAAAATAATATAGCAATGCAGCTATGTGAGAAATAAATAAAACCAATACACTTGAGGTTTAATGTAATTGTTATTGAAGAAACTCAATTTTGTGAATTTGAATGCACTTAAAATGTGTAAATGTTAAAGAATTTATCCTTAATGGCCAATTTATAGTTTAGAGACTTGAACTATTAGTATCAATTGGATAGTCATTTTTGTGGTTTGAATTTAAGATAAATGTTGTAAAGGTTAATCTTCTCTCCCCACAAAATAAAAACCCAGCCACTGAACAGACCAGTCAGGGTTAATTAGTAGCAGCATCTCAGCTCAGGTCAGCAGCCTTACTCCATTCAGGATCACATAAGTAATCGTTGGAGCTAGAGTAGTTTTTCTCTTTTTCCAAGCATTTAGGTCATGTCTTTGTATGCAAAGTAGTTTTTACTATTTATTTAAAACTTTAACCAAGGCAAAAAGAGTTGAAATTAGAAAAAACCCCTGGTCAATAAAAGACTTAAACTTTTCATTTCAACTGTTGTCTTGTGTTTACTTTTTCTTACTTGATGCTAGAATTGAAGTGTGTAGGAGGTGGCAACAAAACATCCTGGTTTTGAACCAGCAGCCACTTAAAATTGTGGGACTTCTGGTAACTTATATAAAGCCTCAATTTCCCAATTTATAAAACTAGTATCCACACCTAAAGGTTAGTTACCATTAATGTGAAATAACATATATAATGTACTTAGAACAGCACACAGTAGGCCCAAAGGAGTGCTATCCAGCACAATGTTAATGTATTTATGCTCAAATAGACCGAATAAGGAGGTAATTAATGAACCCAATTAATGGATTGCTAATTTATGCCCTGTCCTTGCAAATGTTGCTCTTGTTACACTATTTTCTAAACTTTGAGTATAGAAATTACGTGGGGTGTTTTTAAAAGTTCACTCCTAGGGTTTCTCCCCAAATATTTTGTAAGTAGATCTGAAATGGAATCTGGGAATCTTTTTTTTTTTTTTAATATATTTTATTGATTTTTTACAGAGAGGAAAGGAGAGAGCTAGGGAGCTAGAAACGTCGATGAGAAAGAAACATCGACCAGTTGCCTCTTGCATACCCCCTACCTGGGATGTGCCCGCAACCAAGGTACATGCCCTTCACCTGGGACCTTTCAGTCCGCAGACTGATGCTTTACCACTGAGCCAAACCGGTTTCGGCTGGGAATCTGTTTTTAATAATCACCCCCAGCTAATTCTTGCACTGGATACGTTTAGGAAACAGTAACAACATAGCTAATTTTTTTGTTTATTGCTAGTAAACACTGTAAACATCTATAGGTGAGGCTAAGAGAAGAATAAATCTAAAGTTCTTGTGGTTTGGAAGACTTATAGTTATGGTAAACTAAATTTATTTAGAGTTTTTACCCCCAGGAAATTAAAAATTCTAAACTATGTAAAGCATGGGAGTTATTAGGATTTGATCAAGCTGGAAGGCAGAAGCGGTTAGGGGCAATCAGGAAGGCAGTTGTGAGCCTATCTTCCTTTCTCTCCATCTCCATCTTCCCCTCCCCCCAATCAGCCTTCTTGTTAAGAAGGTAAGCATTGAGCATTTTCTTACTCTTAAAATAGGAATAGTAATCTTGATTTGTCCATTATGCATGCTTTGTTGTAGTGCAGAGAAACAAATCTTGGAGTTTCTGTCCTTAGTGTAGGGCTTTTTTATAATCAGACCAGAATGGCCATGTTTCTATTATTAGCACTTTAAAGTCAATATATCAGTCTTGTGAAGGAGGTCAAGTTTGGTCAGGTTCCTCATGTTTACAAGCTTTATATGGACAATTAAGATTTTATTTTCTAACCTTTCCCTTTTTAAAGTTGTTTTTAATATTCTTGAGCAAACTAAACACAAGCTAATAATTTGTTTTAAATGAGTAGCACCTTAAGATATTAACCTATTTTATAGCTAACATGCTGTTGCCATCCAGTATGTAATATTTCCTTTAAGTGCTACAAAGAGGTCCAGGACTAGTTCTTAAAACTAGTGATTTAAAAAGCAGCTACAGCCTTGGCCCCGGTGACTCAGTTGATTGCATCCTGTACACCAATAGGTGGTGGGTTTCATTCCTGATCAGGGCATATACCCAGGTTGTGAGTTCGATCCCTGGTCAAGGCGCATGTCAGAGGCAACCGATCAATGTTTCTTTCTCACATGGATTTGTTTCTCCTTTTCCCTTCCTCTCTCTGATACCAATTTAAAAATAAAAAGTAGCTACATTATTTCTTTTGAAGACAAAGAAATATTTCCCATGATAATTTAGTTATCACTTTTTCTATTGCTTCTTTCTGATTTATGTATTGAAAAGGTCTGTAGTGGGAGAACAAAAAATGTTCAGTTTAACATACGGTAATAGTGCTATTTATACTTTTTCTACAGGGCTTATTCTTATCTTAGAATGGGAATAGATCATAACCACTAACAGTATTTAAAGAACCTCATACATATCATTTTTGTGTATTCTTTAGGCAATGTTCTGCCATTGGATTACTGTGAGGGCATGGGTTGGGGAGGCAGTGGGGAATGGACCAAAGGCCAGAAAATGTCAGGCTCTGCACAGGAGCTCTCAAAGGAATGTGGCATGCTAGGACTAATTGCCTTGGGTCTGAAATAGACAGAATGGGGAATTCATTCTTGGCTATTGGAGAATGCCTTGGTGTTTCTTGAAGAGCATAGCATCCTACAGACTTGATGTGGATTCCAGCTGACTTGTTATCTGAATAGCATACTTTATCTAATGGCTCTGACAGAAAACATGGCAAAACTCTCACACCATTAGTCTAGAGTTAACATTCAACAGGAAACTTGTATTTAGCCCACTCTAATTTAACCTCATGTGCCGTATATTGTCTTGCACTGATTTTTATTTCATTATTTATTTCATAGAAGAAGGAAGAGGGAGAGGAAGAGAGTGTGAGAGAGAGAGAGAAACATCAATGATGAGAGAGACTCATTGATCGGCTGCCTCCTTTAAGCCCTGTACTGGGGACCAAGTCCACAATCCAGGCATATGTTCTGAACTGGAATTGAATAATGACCTCCCGGTTCTTAGGTTGATGCTTAACCACTGAGCCAAACTGGCTGATCCCAGCAAACTTTTATACCCTAAAGGATAATATAGTGTTTCTTTTGCTGCTACTTCTTACCTGAGCTTACTCCTCCCTGAGAGTTCAGTTTCCTTGATTATCCTCTAGTCTGGGAAATGTTCATTTTCTATTTGTTTCCAGGGACTCTCTACCTCCTTTTCAGAGCAGTTTTCAAGCCACCTGGCAATGGACTATTTTTTATTATCCCCAGATATAGTGTAAGCTTGTTGAGGGTAGAGAGTACACCTCTCTTGTTCCCCATAGTATTATTAGCACTTAACACAGTGCATAACATGTTATAAACAAGTACTTATTGAAGAACAAATCGATGAAGTAAACTTATAGTTGCACAAAGCAAAGCTGCTCAAAATAATTGAAAAAAGAGAGACTTGTCAATTTGTAGTCCTTTCTAAAATTGCTGTAGAAATAGTGTACATGACAATAGTGATAACTACAACACTGAAGTAGAAACTAGATAAAAGTCTTGGCTACAAGCAAAATATTAGAGTCAGAGCAAGAATCGAGGTTTACCAAACCTAGATTTAACCAAAAACTCCCATTTAACTGTGATGCCCTTACAACTTCTTAGAGGGACAAGTGGCGTTCAGCCCGAGATTGAGCAATAACAGGTCAGTGATGCCCTTACAAAAACTCCATTTAAGCAGCTACCCTAACTTTAACAAAACTGGGTTTTGTCTGGTGAATGCCATCTCTTATATGTTCATAAGGTTCAAAGATGAGTACTCACTGCCACTGATAGAATCCTATCTATACTATGATATTTCAATCACCAGTTGTATCTAGAAGCTAGTTTAAGCTTTTTAGTCTGTTTTCTCATTTATCCATCCTTTTCATAGAAAAAATACTATTAAAGAATTGTAAAAAAAAAAAAAAAAATCCACAATTATATTCAAACTTGATTACTTTTCACAGCTTTTATCCAGAACCTACATATCTTTATAGCATGTTCATACACTTCCCCAGGTTTTTACAAAGCACTGTAGTGTTTATCTTTGGACATCATAACATTTTGTTTAAAGTTTTTTTCATTAGGCTGAATTTTCATGGGTGGGATTACAGAGTCAAAGGGTATAAAAATGGTGAAGTTTTTGCTTTGGGACCACCTATAACTTTAAAAAGAAAAAATCATTTGCAGGAGTATGAAAGTACAAGGTTTCTCAGTGACCTTGAAAAATTGAAATGAGATGAGGGGAAGGGAGAGTTATATTGGTGTAAACCTTACTAGTTTAATTTATATAGTGTCACAAAAGATTTTTTTTAAATATGGAGAAAATAATTCAGTATTAGGTGACAGTATCCTATATAATAAAAGCCTAATATGCTAAGGATCTGATTGTTAGACCATTCGACCAGTTGCTATGATGCACACTGACCACCAAGGGGCAGATGCTCCAACCAGTAGCAGCTGAGAGAGAAGGGGAGTGATAAGTTAGTTTGCTGCTGGGTGCTGCTGGGGGTCCAGCCAATCGGGACTGGGCAATATGGACTGGAAACACCCTGGGGCCCTCCCGTGGTCCCTTCCCTGCCCACTCATGCACCGGTGGGGTCCTTTAGCTTGGCCTGCACCCTTTCACAATCTGGGACCCTTTGAGAGATGTTGGAGAGCTAGTTATGGTCCCATTTCCTGCAGGCCAGGCTGAGGGACCTCACTCATGCATGAAACTGTGCACCGGGCCTCTAGTATTTAAATAAAAATCCCTTTCAAGAGTAAATGCAAATTTGTACCTGTTGTAACTGCTTATTCATATTAACTCCTAGGTATTCTAAAATTCATAATTTTATGTCAGAACATTCAAGACATGGGAAATATGCTGAATTTTAACTTGCTAGAATCTTTTATAGAGCTATGTACTTTAATGCTATGTCATTAGCTTTTCTTGAGAGAGAATTCTGTGATGTTGGAGATTGTTTTTTATTTCACTGTGTAATAGAAGTTTATTAAGACCCTTGTGAAATAATCCTTGTGTGCCCCAGTGCCACAAACAGTTGTTTTTCCCGGAGTTGTGTGGTTTGTGTCTGTTTAATGAGAACTGTCAACACCATACAGGTTATGTTTTAGTTGCTCAGAGCAAAAATTGTGGTCTTCATTTTTATATGTGGTTTGGGGCTAGATTTTTTTCAAATCTGCATTCCTTTACAGAAAATAGTTAAATTTGTTTAAAATTTAGAGAAAAGTATTTATTCCATTTATGCATTTGAACTTTTCTGGTGGAATTTTGTTCTATTGAAATGATAAGTAGCAGAGAGCTCCATTGCCCTCTAGGTAGTGGCAGAATTGTTATGTGGGTTATTTAAAGACAGACTAGTTAAATGCAAAAAGCATTATGGAACAAAACATAGAGTATTAGCTAGAGGCCCATTTCCCCAAAATTTGTGTCCCTCAGCCCAGCCTGCACCCTCTTGCCGTCCAGGACTGCTCAGGGGATGTGTGCCCACCTGCTTGCTGCTCCTCCTCCTTGTAGTCTGGAACCCTTGCTCCTTACTGCCCGCCTGCTCGCTGCTCCTTACCACCACGGAGGCAAGAGAGGCTCCTACCATCGCAGCTGTGCTCGCCAGCCTTGAATCTGGCTTCTGGCTGAGCAGTATTCCCCCTGTGGGAGCACACTGATCACCAGGGGGCAGCTCCTGCATTAAGCGTCTCCCCGCTGGTGGTCAGTGCACATCATAGTGACCAGTTTTGGTTGTTCTGCAGTAACAGTCTCTTAGGCTCTTTTTTTTTTTTTTTTTTTTTTTTAATATATTTTATTGATATTTTATAGAGAGGAGGAAGGGAGAGAGCTAGAGAGCTAGAAACGTCGATGAGAGAGAAACATCGACCAGCTGCCTCTTGCACACCCCCTACCGGGGATGTGCCCGCAACCACTGTACATGTCCTTGACCGGAATCAAATCTGGGACCTTTCAGTCCGCAGACCGACGCTCTACCACTGAGCCAAACCGGTTTCGGCTAGGCTTTTATTATAGAGAATTTACCTATATACATACTCACCAAAGTACTCTCAAGTTTTTTCTCCTAAGGAATACAAGTAGAGTGTAAGACTTGGAATTCTTACTTTTATGTATTTCCATGTTGTTTGAACGCTCTTATAACTATGAGCGTGTGGTGTGGTCTGTTTAAATTTTTTTTTACTAGAACGCGGCTGTTATTTATTTAACATGGGTAACCGTTTTGTTGTGGCAAGAACTCATAAGACCATTCTCTTTCTGTGATTGAACCTAAATGAGAAGTCTGTCAATGAGTTCTTTCTGCTGTTGTAAGAAATAAAAATGTAGTGCTTATTCCCCCTAACCCCCCTTCTCTCTCAGGTCATTTGGATCCAGGGTTCCTAGCAAGTGACAAGACATCTGCTGGCAGTGCACCACTCAATGAAGAAATTAATATTGCCTCTTCAGATAGTGAAGTGGAGATTGTGGGAGTTCAGGAACATGCAAGGTAGGATATTTTTTGGAGTATTCTGATACTTTAAATTGTGAATTTTAACTAGAAATCAAGGGAGAAGAAAATGGTAGGCATCACAGTATGGCTGGCATGAATGGGGGGAGCTATCTTGGCTTCCTTTGGTTTAAGAAACACTTTTTGCTTAGACATGATATGAGCTTCAGAATGTGTTGCATATTATCTCATCAAGAACAGCTTGACCATATGTGTATGTGAACTAGAACTGATGTTTTTCTTGTTTAGAGTACATCACAGATTTTTTTCTTAGGACTTACGGTACTCTCCCCCCCTACCTTCCCCCCCAATCATATTTTCTTGCCTTTCACTCTATCTTGAAATATATTGGAGCAAACTGATGAAGTATCTCTTTTGCTTGTTTCTTAGAGTACCTCTCCTTGTCTTTCATTAAAATTTATAAGTTACTTTGGTCTGTATCCAACAGGATATTTCTCTAGTGATATTTATGTGACACAGAGAGTTCTGTTTCTTAGAGTAAAAAAAAAAGCTACAAGGCAGTCAATCGTGAACATATTTTATGAAGTTTGGTATTTTTAAAATAGAGGTCAGCAAACTAGCCCAATGGCCAAATCTGGCCTGCTTTCTGTTTTTGTACAGACCTTGAGCTAAGAATGGCTTTCTTGATGGTTGGGAGGAAAATCAAAAGAACAATGTTTTGTGACGTGAAAATTTCATGAAATTCAAATAAAATGTATTTATGAATTAAGTTTTATTGGGACAGAGCCATGCTTCTTCATTTATATATTATGTATGGGTGTTTTTTTTTGCCACCAGTGGCAGAATTTAGAAGTTTCAGCAGATACCTTATAGCCTCAAAAGCCTGAAATATTTACCATGTAGCCCTTTGCAGAAAAATTTACTGATTCTTGCTTTACGATAAGAATTGGTTACTGCCCTCAGAGGTATTCTTGGGGAACATTTAACACACGTAGATATAATACAAAAATTTAGACTTTGGAAAATCTGTATAACAAACAACTTTTCTCCGATGTTGTAAGTTAAGTTGTGGTTTTCTGATTTCCTCAACATCTACATTGTCTTGCCCTTAGATCTGATTTTACTCTTTGATTAGCAGTAAAATATTCACCAGTATTTCTTCTGTTATAAAAGGTGAATTTAGAAGTGTAGAGTGGGGCAAAATATACCTGGCACAAAAGTTTAGGGTGCCTTTTTCTGATTATACTCTGAGAGCACTTTTTAGTTACCGGTAAACAATTGAGACTTTAGGAATACAGAGTTAAGTCATAGTTTAAAGTGCCATTTCTCAAAAGGGCCAGTTATTTTTACTAGAACTAGTATTATACTAGCATTCTCTATCTTTATTTATGCCATAAATATTTCTGCATAGCTGTTTCCTTTTCTTAGTGGTTATTTTCCCTATTGTCGTGGGAAAGAATTTTCATTCTTAATCTTTTCTTTATCTCATATTTTTCCTTTTTTTCCCCTGCCTGTTCTAAAACTGTTTTCCTATTATCTTCTATTTTTCTGTTTATTCCCTTCAAGCTGATTTATCCATTAGATGAGGAAGTAGAATTCCTGATTTATTCCTTTACTTCAGCATGTGTCTGCTGTTAGTTCATTTTACCATTGATCCTTATAATAGAGTAGACTTTTTCTTTTTAAGCCCCATGTCAGGATCTTTCTAGAATATTATAGTATTTTTTTTTTTTACTTCAGACTTCCTCCTATAAAACTGCCTATTGACAGATTGATGTAGTTGGTGCCAGGAACACATTATCCATTCACCAACTTCCTCTTGAGTTACATTTCAAATTTTAATTCACTGTTATTATTTATGTGTTCCTACTGACATAGGAAAGAGTAGACAGTAACCTATGTTGTTTATCTAATCTCTTATTCTGCTGAGACATATCACTTGGTCCAGTTCTCTAGTAACTCCTCCCAAGTACCCCTTCTTGACTCTCTTTATGTCTAAAATGTTGTAGAGTGAGTCATCTTTCTTTTCAGCTTCTTTGTTCAACTCTCTTTCATTATGAAAATTTTTTCTTTTTCTTTTTTTTAACCAATATTACTGTTATCTGGAGTTAAAATGTAAATTCTAAGTCCCTCATCACCTCCAAAATACTCACAAATGATCTCTGGTACACCCTCTTCTAAACTTGTTAGGTCTTTTATCCAGATTGTCATTTTGTTCTATAGATAATGTTTGTTTCACTTTTATTCTGACTTTAGCTACATTTTAAATGACATGCTATATAATATTACTTTCAAGGAGTTTTTCTTACAGGATCTGAAGTGTAAAAGATAGGTTTTATTCTGACTCTTCGGTTTGAATCCTGGGGAAATCATATCTTGGAGGTGGCAATTCCATTCTGAAATCTCAGTAGTTATATTGTCCGAACAATGGGATGTAGAGTTAACAGATAGTGTTGGGGCTGTCTTTTGTTTTGGTCTTTGTTACAGACAGTGGAGTCTCACTGACTCTTCTGTCTTTCTGAAAAGATTTCAGCAGTTTCTTTAGAAAAGAAGCCCGATAAGCTTTTAAACATTGAGATTAAGTAGCTGAGAAGCAGATGGGGGAGAGGCTTTCCTGGTTGCTTCAGAATTGCCCCTGTGGCCGCCTGTATCTCATCTGGAATTTATTTCTTTTACAGGTCTAGGGTTGCAGTTATGAAGTATTGATGGGCTTCTGGCAGGGTTATCGCTTGGAAAAAGGTTTTAGGTTTTGATCAACATCTTTTTGTTCTAATTTGCTTTGCATGCACAGATGTTTTGTTTGGATTTAGTCATCCTGTTCTTATTTTTTCTTATGATATTCTACCTTGTTGTGGGCTTTCCGAGAAGTTTTTAAAAACGCAAACTTGGTCCTTGAGTTTTCTTTGGAATTGTGGTGGTTCTGAATTGCTTTGGGTGCCATTTTTCCATATTTGGAAGCATTTTGTATGACCTTTGTACTTAGTAATTCTAGTTGTGATGTGCTTTTTTTTTTTTTTTTTTTAATTGCTTTTTTTTCCTTGCATGTTAACATCTTTCCTGCTCTTTTACTTTCGATTTTGATATGTTCACTTCTGTGTTTCTTCTAGCCATACACTAGAAAGCATGCTTTCTGAACTAATAATTGAATGAATCTTTTATGGCTGCTTTGTATTATTGTGATGAACTGCTGACCTAAATATTGTAATTTCCAGGTGTTTATTGTTGGACAGTCCACTTTCACAAGATATTCTTTGCCAGTGAGAGACTTTTCCAACATCTCTAGTTCTGTGCCACTTCATTTTGCCAGCAGTTTTAGTTTATGATCCCGATGCCAATATTTTTCTTGGTTCTTGTTCCTTTTTCCTTTTCTTCTACCGGCCTCATTGGTAATTACCCTAGGAAATTAAATCCTTATAGCACAGATCTTTCTGTCATACTGAAGCGTCTCAGATTCGAATCCCTGTCAAGGGTACGTACCTGGGTAGCAGGTTCGATGCCTGTATTGGGGCATGTGTCAGGAGCAACCAATCTCAATATCTCTCTCTCTCTCTCTCTCTCTCCCTCCCTCCCTCCCTCCCTCCCTCCCTCCCTCCCTCCCTCCCTTCCTTCCTCCCTCTCATTTAAAAATCAGTGGAAATAATATCCTTAGATGAGGGTTAACAACAAAAAGTTACTTTCCCCATCACCAAAAGTAAGGCCTAAGCATTTTCTTGGTTATAAGACTAGGTACTGTTTTATACCTATTGCCAGTCATATGCAGATCTGAGAAAGCCTGTATCTGCACTAGAATTGTGATTGGACCAATTAAAAAAATAGCCAAGTATGATCTCACCCCATGCCTTTCATAATGTAGAGAAAAAGAATATGTGATAATACATGAAAATCTGTGCTTTATGTTAGTTGACTTAGTTTTTGAGACTCTCACATTTTTCTTTATAGGGCTTATAACAATTGTGTTCTATTTCTTCCTGAAATAATGATGATAAGTTGAGCTTTCCTCTCATTTGAATCAAAACTTACTCAGTGGTTTAAATTGAACTTCACAGTCCTATCATTTGACCAGAATGTGAAATGATTTGTCAGTGCTTCTGAAACAGTTTTTTCCAGTAAACTCTTAGTGAGGTACATCAGCAAGAGGCAGTTTTGTTCCTCTGATGGAGTACTTTTAGAGAATCTAAACTGAAAGTATTTGTTATTTACACTGAACTAAAGCATAGGAAGTTCTGATGAAGGAGCCAAGTGTTTCTGTTGTCCTTTAGAACAAGGGAAATTGATCTTTTATGCATGACCTAGTACTTACAGACTTTTAGAAATTTAATCCTTAAAGGGAGATTACTATTATTGTCTTTGAAAGTGTTATTACCGAATATGGCACAGAACTTATTTTTAAGAACAAATTTCACTTATATTTCTTACTGTTTCATTTGTTCAAATCAAGATTATTTGGGCATATTCATTTTGTTCTGGATTTATACTGTGCCCTGTCCTGAAGATTCAAAGGTTTAAATGAGTTCAGAGAAATATAGTATCCATTGTCAGTAACAGATCTATACATAATTCAAGAGTTTTTTAAAAAATATTTTTTTTTGTTTTCAGAGAAGAAGGGAGAAGTAGAGAGAGATAGAAACATCAATGATGAGAGAGAATCATTGATTAGCTACCTCTTGCATGCCCCCCCACTGGGGATCAGGCCTGCAACCGGGACATGTACCCTCACTGGGAATTGAACTGTGGCTCCTGGGTTATAGGTGGATGTTCAACCACTGAACCGTGCCAGCCAGGCAACTCATGAGTTTTGAATGAGATAAAAATTCTGGCTTTTTTTAGGCTAAACTGAGATGAGAGACGGACAGATATGAAGGGAGGGAAGAAAAGGGGAGGGATAATTGGTTGTAGGTTTCATGAACTTGCATAGTAGATTGATCTTAGTAAAAGTATTGATCAGTACGAGTGAAGCTGTATTGCCTTTTATCTTTCCTATAGTACGGTTAGCCATGTTTTTTCTCTTCATCTCAATTGTAGGTGTGTCCATCCTCGAGGAGGTGTGATTCAGAGTGTTTCTTCATGGAAGCATGGGTCGGGCACACCGTATGTTAGCAGCCGGCAGACACAGTCATGGACTGCTGTGACTCCCCAGCAGAACTGGGCTTCACCTGCAGAAGTTGTTGACCTTACATTGGATGAGGATAGCAGACGTAAATACCTACTGTAATACAATGTCACTGTGTTTCTCCGCACTGTTCCCTTCCACTCCCTCCTCCTCCTCTTTGTGACATGGAAGTTCATTGTCATAGCTTCAGCCTCAGAAGCTGTGTGTGGCATTTGTATAATCAAAAATCATGGAAAGTTGCTCCCCTCCTTTTTCTTTTTTCTTTTTTTTGTAAATCAAAAGAAGTCACTTAGGAAAATAATGTAATCACAGAGAAAAAGAATTTCTTCTTTCCCTCAGTAGGAATATGAGAATGATGAATTTATTAGACAACTTCATTTTACTTGGTAACCTTTTTCTTAGGAAACTTTGCCCTCCTTTTAATTACCAGGTGACATGAATTTCAGTGTTTGAATCTTATATTTATTTTTCTGTGTAATAAAATTAATATCTAGACTTGACCACTGTCAGCCCACCCATTGGCACTCCCACCTTAGGGCATTTGCACACATATTAGTCAGGTCCTTATTGGCACCTACTAGGGCATGTGCATTTGAAACTTGTCCTTAGAAATAGAAGACAGAGTATTATTTTCTTTTAGCTTAAGTCTTCTAACTTCTTTCTGACTTCGCTCCTGGCTGACTTCCCACAACACAGATAATTGACATGTCCCTTTGTGTTTATAAATACTGCTAAGGTGACTTAGTATGTCTCTTTATTGCAATAATTCATAACTCTTTTGGAAAATGTCTCCTTTTGTGGTTGAGGCATTTCGGATAGATATCCACCACAAGGTTTTTTGGGCATATGAAGAGAATACTGAGAGGTCAGTAGGAAAAATCTCTTGCCCTGAACTTTTTCCTGGTTTATTCAGATAACGGGCAAACATGGAAACCTGTTACTTAGGTAGAATATAGAGTTGTGTGGCTTCTAAGGCTTTTGGGCACTTGCAAATCTGAGAGGAAAGTGCCTTTTTCATAGCTGGTCTCTCTATAAAGGATGTAGAACTGTTCAAACTTGAGCTGAAATTGACCTGATTCTATCTATATTTGGGTATTTTTCTCTAATACCGTCTAAAATTAGAAAAACCAAAATGCACCATAAGAAACAAGATAGAAGCACATTAATGGCACTGTAGGTTTTACAGTATCTAAAAGGTATGGCAAAGAATAGTAGGAGCTTCAGGGAATTCAGGAAATACCAGTGTTGGAGTTTGTAACATTAGTTACTACCTTTTTCCTCCAACATGTTGTAGTTACTAGTGCAATTAGTTTACAAACAATACCTAGAGTTAAAACACTATGTACTGTGCACAAGGAGGAATGAAGTAATATTGGCTTAGAAGACCTCCTTTTGTTTCTCCACAGTTTTTGTTAGACTTTTTTTGGGGGGGGGGGGGGGCGCACTTTGGTTCCATTTTTACCATATAATATTGCTTAAAGCCTTTTGCCTCCCTCCCTAGATACCTTGCTGGCTCTTCCTTATCATAAGAGCATGAGAACTACTGTTTCTTAGTTTCATTCAGTGGACACTTATTTAGTAAGTGCCCATTTCACATAAGGCACTCGCAGGTTGGGTGCTGTGGGGCCGCTGAGGTAAATGAGATACCCCCTGTGTGTGCATGCACCCGAAGACCCCACCGGCCTGGCTCCACCTGCCTGCTCTTTCTTCTGTTTTGAAAGACTCAATTGTTCCTTTACCCTTCTTCCTGCTGCTTTACTTCCATGCACCTCTTCCCTGGGAGTGTATTTAAGCATGTGTTCTTCGAGCTTCTCTGATGTCTCATTTGATCTGGCCTCTGTTCTTCATCAACTTTTTATTTTTCTGTCAATCTTACTCTTAATAGATCAAGCCTTTAAAAGATCACTAACTTCCAGTTTTAGCCTCATATCTCAAGTCTCTCACATGGCTACAGTTCTAGACAAAAACCAAAGACCCAGAGGCCAGAGTGAAATAGGACCTTCTGCAGATTCACTTCACATTTTACTTTAGGATTAATTTATTAAATTTTACTGTTACACGTTGTTTGTGACTTGAATTAAAATACTAGACAAAGTAGAAATGTACAGTTTCTGGCCTGTGTGTTCCAGGAAAATCATTGGAAAAGAATAGAATGGATTATTTGACTTGAAGTTTTTGCAGCTTATTTTGTCCCGAATATCAGGGCAGAGCTCAGTTTTAAGAATGTTTTGCATTACATACTCATATTAATATATTTGTTCAGTTCTATACAGCAGGTGATTTTCCATGACATATTTTCTTTAGCTCCTAATAGTCATTCTCTAAAGAGAATTCTTTGAGTGTGCTGTGTGCACTGCAGATTGAGAGCAGAGTGAAGTTGTAACCAAGCTTTTTCTGGCCTTTTCTTTATAGCAGGCTGCACTTTGCCCTCACCTGTGCCTCTTCCAGCACCCGGCCTCCTGAGTTGATGCACGAGACAGATTTAGAAATTAAGATGCAAAAAAGGAGAGAAAGGATGGTAGAGACAGTCATCTTTTCCTCTTCCTAGTTTGGAACTTTCCCACTTATTAACAATAGAGAGAGAATGCTTCCAACTCCTCTTTCATTACTAGATCCAGTAGAGCAGGGATGTAGTTTATGGCAAGATATTAATGACAAAATTCTGTGGTAAACAACTCCTGTGACATTTGAAATTTCTTATAAGGTGATCTTTTTTAACCAAAATTTTGCATTTGGTAGCATAAATACTTTTTTATGCTTCATAGAACATTGTCCATTCAAAATAATATCTCTGCTAAATGGTGCGCTTGGGTCACAGACTGTTTATGGCATAAATTTGGTTAAGTCTCCTCTCCACCCAGTTTGAAACCACAGAGCAGTAACCAGCTATTTATTACATCATCACAACTGCCTGTAACATGTAATTGCTGCTCACTGTAGTTGTCCTTTTGTTTTGTTGGAAGGAGCCAGACTGAATGGACTCTCCATTATCCTTTACAATTGAGCATCCCATAAACTTGTTGTTATTATTATCAGTTGTGAATATGAACTGTCTGATTTGCTAATTTAGTCAATTGTTCATTGTTACTTTGAGCAGATTAGCACCATAGGTAACTTCAAAATGAATTTGTTGCCTGCTTTTTTGTACCGTGTCACAAAGTTTTTGAAAAAGCTGGGGACACAATTTTGTCTTTTAGTTTAACTTTTTTTTTTTTAAGGCAAAGAGCCCTAATCCCTGTTTTCCAGTATGTGTATGATGTGACTTCCATGTATATAAAAAAATGATTGCACCCTAACCAAACTTCCTCAGATTGTGCACTGTTTGTTTAAAATAATCACATATTTTAGTCCAATGCTGTTGTATTTTTTCATTTTATTTAAAACACTATGTACCTATTCTTTAACAAACTTTAAAGGGTAGTAATCTTTAAAAAAGTCACTGGATAACTAGGAAATATTTTTGTTGCTGTTTTGTTTTTGTTTTTTAAAAAAGAGTACAAAGGTCATTGAAGCCTTTTGCTCCTCTTACCGTGAAAATGAAATGTTAGCCATTGTATGGCTAGGAATCAATGCACTTGGTGGTTAACAGATCTGCTGTTGCTGGAGTGTGAGTGTGAACTTGATGCAGTGACGACAAATCATTGCTTAGAATTATCTTTTAAAATGTGCAACTCTAGTTTTTAAAACAAAATTTGGTTCTTCTTTACATTCATATTTAGTTTTTGTTTCCATTTAGTATTTAATGGTCTTCGGAGAAAAAAAATAATAAAACAGAGTGTTATATATATATTTTTTGGTGCAAGATAAGATTTTCTGTTTTTTTGAAATAAGTCTGTAGCATAAAGGTTAAACTATTTTAAGACAAAAATAAAATAGAGTGTATTTAAACAATGATAATTTCTAAGGATTATTTTTTCTATATATGCTTCAGTTAATTAGATGGTGCCTGGAGCAGCTTCCTAATTAGCTTTTGGATGTGAAAGTGGATTATATTTTGTCAACAGAGCTTACTGTTATAAGATGCCTGATATTTCCAAGCGGTAACTGTATCCTGCTTCCAAAATGTTTTGCAAGTGGCCTTTGGTATGTTAGTTCTAGATAAAAATAGCTTTGCATTAGCTTTCCTATTCTCCCTGCCCACGAGCTTTCAAAGAGGGTTGAAGACTCCCCAGTGCTAGGCACCTTTGTTCCTGGGAATAAAATTCAGCTGACAGTTACTTCCCAGAGGCCAGAGCACCGGCGTAAGACATGGTTACTGCATGCACTTTCCATGTGCTTGAACATTGAAGCAAATACAGGGTGTTTCAGAAATAGCCTAAATAAAATTTGTGCACTAATTTGGTTCTATTTTCAGATTTTTTTATTTGGTTATCAAAATTATAGGAGCTACCATATTAACATCTGGTTGCTTTTGTAATTTCACAAAAAGGGGAATGAGGAACTTAAATTTATGAAAACATACACTCCTGTATCTCTTAGTGTTCCTAAGAATTTTTAGGATGGATCTTGGCACCTGCAGCATGAGAGGGATCAGACCCAGAGAGTGGGGTTGTTAATGTATAAGAAGCCTGAACCAGGGAACAGGAGGCTCCAGAAAGGCCTTCTGACTTCTGACAGATTGGATTTCTGTGCCTGTAAAATGAATTATTTCTTCTCTGAGACTAAAATATAGGGCTGTGGATAGGATATAATTGCCTAGGAGATAATTCATTGTTCTGCAGAGCCATCGGGCTTTTTAGGCAGGAATTCAGGAGAATTGCTTATTCCAAAAAGCTTTTCAGAGGACTACAGTTATATCTTCTCACTTGAGCTTTTGGAAGGCATTGGATGACTAACGCTAACAGAACTTTGAATTTCTACAAACTTTATTTTCAAAGTTTTAAAATAATGTTTATTTCAAAATTTCCACATGGGGGTAAGAAGTGGTACAGATTGTTAGCCTAATTGTGCAGATTGGAAGACTGAGAACAGAACAGCTTATTCAGATTTATATAACAAGACTTTACAAGAGAAGACTTTTTTCCCCTTGTGGTTCAAATTAGGGCTTTTTAGCTTTAAGAAAAACAAAACCTCTATACCTTTGTTTTCTTCTTTCTCTGCTG